CACTCTCATAGGGCATCACAGGCTGAGACGATGTCAGAGAGGCAAAGCAGGGTACCGTGAGGACACTGAGGGGAACTGGCCCCTCCCTGATCGCATAGGGTTTGTGGAGGAAGTGATGGCTGAACTGAAATCTGAAAGGAGACCATTCACATTTATGTAAAAACAGTCTCCATAGAATAAAAGGACAGAGCCAGTAAAATAGTTACCTTTGGCACCTTTTTCCTAAAACAATCCTTTTTAAATGACAAACTAAGTCATAAAATATTTAAAAGCTAGCAGGCCGTTCTGTGGGAGGTGTCTCTCTCATCTCTTATTGCTCCCTCCTCAACATTACTAGTATCAGGGTAGTCATTCAGAATTTTGTTGAAATGATTAGTACAGTATAATACTGATGTCTGTTCATACTGTCTTCAGCTAATCAAAATAGATTCACAAACTTCATCTCAGCACATAAGCAATTTCTCTCTGTGAGGCCAGCCTGGTCTACAAAGTGAGTTCCCAGACAGCCAGGCCATACTATAAAGAAACCGTTTCCAAAAACTAAAGGAGGGAGGGAGGGAGGTGGGGAGGGAGGGAGGGAAGCAGGGGGAGAAGGAGAGGGACAGGGACAGGAGAGAGGGACAGAGACAGAGACAGGGACAGGGACAGGGAGAGAGGTCCGTCTGGATTTCTTTGATTGTGAACAGGTGCTTCCATCTCCCTCAAAAGGATGTACAAATTCAGTTAAGTCTGGTGGCATGGTGGTCCATGTCTTTAAAACTCAACACTGGCGGGTGGGGAGGCAGAAGCAACAGGGTTTGTGAGTTCCAGGACAACCAGAGCTACATAGTAAGACCCTATGTCAAAAAAAAAGAAAGAAAAAAACTCAACAAGATAATGTGTAATGCAACACTGGGGTAACAATGAACATATATCCTTGGATTAAAAGCCTGATTAGTCAGGCCAGGCGTGAAAGCAAAGGCCTTTAATCCCAGCACTAGGGAGGCAGAGTCATGCTTATCTCCCTGAGATCATGGTCAGCCAAGTCTACAAAGCAAGCTCCAGGACAGCCAGAGCTATTATACAGAGAAAACCTGTTTCAAACAAAACAAAGCAAACCAACAAAAAAAGTGTCTAAAGCGATTTTTATGTTCATATGTGCTTCCTTTTCCTTATAATGAAAAACACTAATAAATGTTTGTATCTTCTCTCTAGCCTTGGCTTTCTGAGGGAGATGAAATGACATATACTGTAAATCCTATCTACTGCTAGACTCTGACCTCTAAGCATTTAAAAGAGCCAATATTGTACTCCTCAGAGTCAGACTACTTCCCTCAGGACCCCATGAGTCCTCTGAAGAAAAAGAACACATACACTACTAGTTCATGAATGCCTGTAATCCCAGAAACTTATATGGCAGAACACAAAAATCAAGGTTCAAGATCAGCCTAGGCTATATAAGTAAGAACTGTCTCAAATAATAATAATAATAATAATAATAATAATAATAATAATAATAATTTGGGGGACAAAGGGAACAGATAATTCAGTAATAGTGTTTGCCCAGTAAACATCAAGGCCCTGGGTTCAATATTACCTGTTTTACAAGTGTTTAATTTAGTTGCAAATCTCACCCAAACTGAGGCTTCTAGGTGATCCAAAAAAATTGTAAAACATGTCAAAATGGCCAACCATCAAAAATGTAAAAGACTTATCTACTACTTACCCTAAAAGCAAATTCTGACGTCTTACCTGAAGACAATTATTGACAATTTGCTTTCTGTTGACAGGGTCTCACTATATAGTTATACGGTGAAGGGTGGCCTCTAATTCTCAAGCCTCCCAAGCCACTATTCAGGCAATTGTGAGCTGGATTTTAAAATCAGAAATCAGAAAGCCCCCCCCAAAAAAGGTCACCATCTTGTGGCATTTATAGTACCAGAACTTGAAAGGTAGAGGCAAGAATTAGGAGTTCTGCTACTTGACAAGTTCAAGGCCAACCTGGTCTGTTAGAGATCTTATCAAACAAAAAAAAAAAAATCAAATCACTTATATTCAGAAATGACAGTAAGTACAAACTCTCTTATGAAAAGCTTCAATTGCAACACCTAGGAGAGTTTAAATATCTGTCACAAAGTACAAATGTATCTATATGTAAAACTTTACACACACACACACACACACACACACACACACACACACACACCAAAGTACCAAAGAACTGAAATCACCCAGATAATGGCAACTTATGTATTTCAGACTTTGAACCTTTTTTTTTTTTTTTTTTTTTTTTTTTTTTTTTGAGACAGGGTTTCTCTGTGTAGCCCTGGCTGTCCTGGAACTTTGTAGACCAGTCTGGCCTCGAACTCAGATATTCACCACCTCTGCCTCCCAAATGCTACAATTAAAGGCATGTGGCAGTATTTCAGACTTGTTTTAAAGAATGTTTTGGTGTAGTTTAAAAGCTGTTAAAACACCATTATAAGGAGACTGCTAAACAAATGGTCTCTTTAACTATGCAAACCAGACCTACTAAATCCAGATGAAGTCTGTCATGAGAACGATCCAAAGAGCCTTTCAGGGCTGGGTATATAGCCCAGTGAGGGAGCACTTGCCTTGCCTAACATGCCAGAGGTTCTGTCCACACCCAACACTGGGTGGGGGGGCAACAAAAAAAATGGGAGATAGGAAGCAATACCTATTAAAGTAGTAATCATTAATGTGAGTAAATTTCACTTTTAAGCTTTTTTTTTTTTATTACTTATACATGTGTGAATGCCACAATATGCAGGTGCCCAAAGAGGTTTGAAGAAGGCTTTGACTATGCTGGAGCAGGGATTACAGACAGTTAGTTGCACGCTGCCTGATTGGGGAGTGGGGATATGGGCTCTGAAGAGCACCAGGCATGCTTGACTACTGAGCAACCTTCCAGCCCCTGTGAATTCAACTTTTAAGCATGCTGTATTTTTACATCATTATTGTTTTTGCTTGATTGGTTGTGGTTTAGGAAGGTGTTTTTGGTTTTATAGATAGATTCTTATGTGGCCCTAACCGGTCTGGAACTCTATGTGGGCCAGGCTGGCCTTGAACCACCTCAATTTTGGGGTAGGGTCCCACTATACAGCTCATGTTTGCCCCACGTTTGCTAACTGTAGCCCAGGCTGGCTTTGAATTTGCTAACTATAGTCCTGGCTGGCTGCAGAAATCTCAATTTGAGCGCTAGGATTGCAGGTATTCACAACCACAGTAGGATCTAATTATACTTTTTCTAAGATTTATTAGTTACCTGTATGTGCTGTGAGTGAGTACTCAGAACCCAGAAAAGGGTATCAGATTCCCTGGAGCTGGAGTTTTGGGTAGTTGCAAGTGGCCTGACATGGGCTCTGGGAACTGAACTGGAAACTTCTGCAAGAGCAATACAAGTTCTTAACCCCTGAGCCATCATCCCTCCAGCCCCTAAATATGTCTTGATAATAAAGTCTTACAATTATCTCCAGGAAAAACCTGAATACTCTGGTACTCGGAGTAGGAATGTTGAGATGACAGCTTCTTTTTTGAGTTACTCTTAATGCTTCCTTCTATAATTTACATCTGCTGAGTGTGGCGGGGCTCTAACAGCCATGACAGCTACTATATCACTGCAGCCCTCTCTTTTTAAAGAAATGCAAAGAAAAGCTTCAAAAGTATCCAAGATCATCAATGAGTCAGTAACACTAAAACTTCAGCTCCTACACTACAAACCACAACATACTTTCCCAATCCCAAAAATGAGGAGTCAACCTGCTATTTTCAAAACCTTCCAACACCACAGTACACTGACTAAACACAAATCAAAGATTCATCTTGGACCAAGGAAACAACACGCTATGTTTGCATACTATCATCTCCTTCCTTGTTCTCATAACCATACAATACATTACAAAACAACAACAATATACAAACTGACTTTGGATGTATTAATCCTGGGTAATGGGTACTCTTCAATATGGACAGTTTATTTTCCCACTAACTGAACCTTTGTAAGTTAATCTTTCATCACCTCGTTACATTTCGTCCGAGGTGCTATGGGGTACATTCATTTTCTCACTCAACAGTCAAAAGTTAAAAACAAGCAATTCTCAGAACATAGTTACAATGCCAATGGGGGGGGGAGAGCGCCAATAAACTGCTGCTTTTAACGAGACATTTTAAAACACGATGGCATGCTTCACGGAATTACTGTTAAGTTCTTGGCTGGCTACTTTAAAGTAGCATTTAAGGCATATCCCTCCCTGTTTGGGACACAGCCTGACTCGTTAGACAAGATAAATCTAGGCACGCTCACACAGAACACCTCTGAAGCAACTTAGCTTACTGGGAACATCACTGCAACCTCCCAAGCGTGAGTACTCAAGTCCTCTCATACAAGGGACAGAATGACCCTCTCCAAGAACCTTTCGGGAGAAGGCTCCCTAGGCGGAGACAATGACAGCAGGCCGACCGGGGAGGGTTTGGTTTGGGACGCAAGTGTTGACACCGGGAGGAGAGGCTCCCAGGAAGTGTCAGTGCGGCAGCAGGTGGAGTAGCCTTGCGTGCCGTGCCGTGCCGAGCAGGTCCTTGCTGACCTAGTCTGCAAGTCCTCCGCCTCCCCGTCCCGGTTCCGCCTTGCGGACCTTTCCCAGCCGCCCGGCGCCCCGGCTGCCGGAGCCAGGGCAGGACTCCCGAGCCTCCCGGGAAGCCAGGCCACCGGAGACGGCCGCCGCACCTCTTCCGGGGACTCGCAGGCCGGCTCCGCTCGCCGGCAGCGTCGGGACCTGACGGGCCCTCCCGGGGGCAGCCCGCTTCCAGAGCGGCGTCCCCTCGAGGCCACCCGCCCCGCTCCTGCACCCCTTCCCCTCCGGAGCAGCCGGCGGAGTTACCGGCCCACTCCAAAGTAGCCGCGCCGGCCGCCCCCACCGGGCGCCGCGGCCTCGCTGTCACCGCCCGGCTCGCGGCCTCGGCCCGCACCGCCGGCGTGCCCCCGGTGACGCGCGGGTCGGTACCTTGCGGACCCCCTTGTAGATATAGAAGTAGAGCTCCCGGCCCACATTGAAGCAGAGGCGGTCGCCGTTGCCAGACTGGTCGTTGAGGTTTACGAAGGAGACGCGGACAGGGTTGGATCCCTGCGAGTTGAAGGGCACCCGGTTGGGCCGGCTGTACTCCGAGTGCGGCAGCAGCTTGTACAGACCTTCCCGGGTGGTGAACTGGGTCTTAATCTCGTTCATCTCCTTCCCTCCTCCCTCCGTCGCCATCTTGGAAAGCAGCGTTCATCCTGCCCTAAGTGCCCGGATCACGCCCACCGCGCAGGCGCCGTCCTCGGCCGCTCGGTCTCCGCCCCCCACCCCCTTCTCCGCGGCCCCGCCCACTCGCGGCCCCGCCCCCCACGAAGGCGGGCCGAGCCGGAGGGGGCGGGCTAACCTGCGGTCCCACTGCGCACGCGTGCTCTCTTGGCGCGCTCCGTCCCGCGGGGCGAGCGCAAACTTCTGCCTTCTAGAAGCCCGCGCTTAGAGCTTTGGGCAGGCGTTCCTAAGGTGAGGTGAGTCTGGGCGCTCTGGGACCCTAGCCCGGAGAAGCCGAGGGACGGCGTCGCCGTGGTCTCGGCCGGCTGGCGGTCCGCACGGAGCCGAGCTGTGTGGACCTGTGCGTCCCCGCTGTGTCCTGGGCTGGCGAGGACGCACGCGGTCGGGGTAGGGGGGTCCGGAGCCTCGCAGGAGATCGAGAAGGGTTGGGTTTTATTGCACCTCACGGTTGTTTCTTTGTGGGGAAGCGGGGTGGGAAGAAGCATAAACGTATAGGACTTGTGTTTTCAAGTCCCAGGAAATATCCACCAGGCCACCTGTCTAGGCCCCAAAATGATTGAGGGGCTGCTCAGACGGTCCCATCTGAAGGTATTCAGCTTCAGATAAGTTCCTGACCTGCTTGGTTAACAAATTCCAAGCCTACTGGAGGGCAGCCGCAGGCAAGGTTGAGAGGGGACCGCCCCAGATCATTCTGGGAAACATTTTACTGAAGTGAGGCCAGGGAAATACGGGTATCAATATTTGCTAGTTTGTGTAGACACTTTCAGGATGGGTAGAAGCTTTCCCCACCAAGCATGAGGCAGCACAGCTAGTAGTCAAGAAATTGCTGGAAGACATCATTCCCAGGTACAGTACTGCTGTAGGCAGTTCACACAGTGGACCAGCCTTTGCAGCACAGGTAACTCAGGGAATAGCAAAAAACGCTTAGGGCAGATTGGAAATTGCATTGTGCATATAGGTCCCAGAGTTCTGGCCAAGTAGAGTGGATGAATCAGACCTTAAAAGACCCTTACCAAATTAAGGATAGGAACTGGCAGTGACCAGGTGCCTCTCCTCCCCTTTGTCCCATATAGGGTGCGAAACTCCCCTTTTACTCTTGGTTCATGCCATTTGAAATTATGTCCGGTCGGCCCCTTCCATTTTCCTCAACCTGCGGTCCGACTTAGTTTCTGAGTTCAGTGATGTTAATGTGATTACCTCTTTAAACGCAGCGTCCGTGGGATTTAAAGGCATCTGGCTGAGGTTACATCAGGTGTATGAGACAGCTCCACCACCCATTCCACATCAGTTCCAGCTGGGAGACTGGAACCTAGAGCTGCACTGGAGGGGACCTGATGTCATGATCCTGACCACCCCACTGCCATTAAAGTTGACAGGTACCTCAACTGATGGAGTCTCCAGAGACTGTTCCACACCGCACCGAGCCATTGGAATTGGACTATAAAGCTTAACCCCAACAACTCAAACTTAAGGTCAGACCTCCCGATGGCCTTGTTAGTACCTGCTCTGCTCCTGGTCCTAGTAACACCAGCCTGGACTGCCTGTAACCCACACCAACCCTTAAACCTCACCTGGCAACTTTTAGGCCCCCGTGGAAACCTGGTCAAGCAAATTACTAGGATTTCCCCACCAGGAGTATGGTTCCCTGATATCGTATTTGACCTTTGTGAGATAGCGGGTCCTGATTGGTTAGAGAGCACTGGAGATCTCGGGTGTTCCGGAAAGGATGCTGCTGACCGCCTCCGGAGGGCAAGCTTTTATGTCTGCCCAGGGTGGAATAGATCCTGGACTTGGCAGTGTGGGGGCAAGGAGTATTATTTCTGTAAGAAGTGGGGCTGTGAGTCCACTGGGCACATATGGTGGAAGCCCCCTGTTACAACAGACCTCATCACCCTCCGCCGGGAACGGGGCAGTGTCCCCACTAACCCTTACATCCGATACCCATGTAACGTCCTGCACCCAGGGCCGATCCCTCACCTTTGTAACCCAGTAAGAATAGTCTTTACAGACCAAGGGAAGAAAACAACCGGCTGGGATAGAGGGAAAATGTGGGGCATCCGAGTATATGAGGGATCCCACACAGGAACCTTGTTCACTTTACGACTGGTTGCTACCCTGCCAGAAGGGCAGAATCCCCAAGAGATACTGGCTCAGCCTGCACCACCCCTCCCCAGAGCACAAGGTTGTCCCCGGTACATTAACAATTTAGGAGCTGTGAGGGAATTATTAGACAAACTTAGGGAGAGGTTGGATAAGAGAAAACAGGAATATGAACAAACTCAAGGCCAGTTTGAATACTTGTGGTTAACGATCTTAATCCCTGCATTACTCGGGTTCTTACTGATCTTTGTACTCTTAGTTACTTTATGGGCTTTCATGAGGGAAAGGAGCAAAACAATACAGTTGACAGGGGTACAGTCTGAGTGTACTCCCAACCCAGGGAGAGAAGCACCCCCTGGATTATGCACCCGAGCCAGTGAAAGAAACACTTCATCCCTAACCCTGGACCCAGGGGGAAACACTGTAATTCTGAAACTGGTACCGATAGAATCACAACCTGTAAAAGAAATTCACCCAGGCCCCAAAATTGGAGCCTAAGAGCCAAAAGAACCATAGAAAGACACAGTTTGGCCCTGAAATCAGCCATCTCTACCCCTGACACAAAACCACATAACCCTTGAGCAGGAAAATCTGGCCAATCCCTGAGTAGTAAAGTAGTAACCACTAGTCTAAACGCACACAAGCCTAGGGAAGTAGTAACCCCTAGCCTAGATACATACTTGGACCCTTTCCGGACCTTAGTCCAGAGGGGCGGCCAATTTCGAGCCTGGAGACTTGGAACTCCCCAAGCCTTCTCCTGTGTAAAAGCCTCCTTCCCTCGCTGCCCATGGGCTCCCTGTTCTCGCTGTTGCTGCTGCCTCTTTAGACGGGCAAAGGGGCCTCAGTTAACTTGTGAGTAAAGACTCTGACTCGGTCTTGTGGTGGTGATTCATGTTCTGGACTTGGAGTGTAACAGATCTAAGTTCAAGACCAACCTGGTCTACATAGCAAGCCCCAGGACATCCAGAGCCACACAGAGAAACTCTGTCTTAAAAACTCTAAAAATTAATAAATAAAAAGACAAATGTTAGAAAGCAGTTTGAGAAGCACATCACATTCTGTTAACAACAGCAGAAGCTTACCCACTAGGCATTTTTGGCTGGGCTTACAGGTCAAGCTCAGCTGCATGTGTTTTCACCCACAGCAGGGGCAGTGCAAGAAGGTATACCATTCCATAGCACATAGGGTAGGTAAGAGGCCATGTCACGGTATTTCCCATGTTCGCTCCACCCTTAGATAGCTCAGCCTCAGTTTGCCTGGCTTATTATTATTCTTAGTCAGGGAATGCAGCTGATCTCCCCAAATTTACTATTGGCTCTCTCCTGTATGATAGGCACCAAGGGTACATGACTCTTCCTGAGGTGTCTGACAGAGTGATGGCAAAGAATTTCACCCAAGTCTAGCTTGGTGAACCACTGAGTTTAATTGTGATTACTTATAGGAACATGGGTGAAAGATAATTTACAGAAACAGACAGGAATGTGCACCCTCCCCCAACCTTCCAAGTGAGTGCAACTGCTGTGATTCAAGCTGAAGATAATGATTGTGTGAAGCCAGCTATTTTTTGGTGTGGATGGGAAACAGTGAGGCTGTAAAGTAAGCTCCTTACAAACAGTGCTGTTCAGGGTATCATTGCAGTGGATAAATAATTCTCTAAGTCCATGGTGTTTCTGACAGTGCTGCTGCTCCCGTGCTGGAAATGGTACAGGGTACCCACTGCACCTGAGGGAATGATGGGTTAGAGCTCAGGGTTCGGCCTCTGCTGCTAGCAGATCACTCTGTACCAGTCACAGCCAGTTTCCTCTTACTAAAGTAAGAAGTTCTGTAGCCATGGCCAAGACAACTTAGAAAAGAAGCCTTTAATGTGAGATTCAAGTTGCAGAGGGTTAGAGTCCATGACTGTGACAGGGAGCACGGCAGAAGGCAGGCAGGAATGCATGGGGCTGGGGCAGTAGCTGAGAACTAGCTGGGGAATGTGGGCTTTTGACACCTCAGAGTCCACCCCCAGTGACACACCTGCTCTAACAGCCACACCTACTCCTTCCCAAACAGTTCCACCAGCCGTGACCAAGCATTCAAACACATTAACCCTGTGGGGCCACTTTCATTCAGACCACTACAGAGTATATTCCTGGGCCCTTGAAGAAACTTCCTTCCTGCCATCATGACCACCTTGTTCATGAGCCCGTTAGGCTGTGACAGGGAGTGGCTCGTCTCACCTACCTGACTACAGGCTGTTTCTGATGACGTCGCTTTGTGGAGAGTTTGCACGAAAGCACAAATCTCTTCACGTCTTTTTTCACATTTGGAGAGGTCTATCTACATACTCTGTCACCAACTTTCCAGTCATGATCTTCTAAGTCCCTGACCATGCGTCTGAATCACTGACTGTCTCATGAGTCTGTGTAGTTATCTGTCTGGCCATTTTCCTTTTGAGTAAAATGTGTAACAGGATTACCCACTGTGAGGATGTTCCTCGCTACTGTCCTTCAGGAGTGCCGCGGAGATGAGTTATGCCCCAGTTGTTTATGTCCAACCGTCTACATACAAACCGGGCACTAGCCTTCTCCTGTCAGCTGCTCACAGGGCACATCCTATGAGGCATAGAGACAGGAGCTTTCTTGGTCCGGTCTATACCAGCACACTTAACTTTTGATGATGGCTTCTGCAGTTCATGTCTATCTCTTATGCCTTTGTGGACCAGATCGGCCAGTTCGTGATGGGCAGCTCAGGTCACATGGTAACTTAGTGGCTCAGCCAAGCATTCGGGTTACACTAAGGGCACAATAGCTGGGCAGTGAGGAACATGCTGCCTCCAGAATTCAAATAGACTAGCTATTGTGCTGCTTCCTTGGTTAAAGGCTAGATGCAACAACTTGTTTTCTGCCTGAAATTGCAAACCCTCAG